AAGCATCTGGAGTCAGGGTGGTTGCATGAGGAGATCTGAAGGCATTTTGGACACCAATCTGGAGTTTGACGTTGTTTGACCTTATTTAACCCCAATGGCATGACCCAAGAAAATCAAATTTTAGTCCAAGTAAGTTCACATGTACGCCAACACACTCTGTGCATTCAGTGTGTCTAGCTGACACACTGAAGTCAATAAATGCAACTGCCAGTATCACTGACCGTATATTTCTGTCCCACCATCACTTCAATAACAATGTGTATGAGAACGGCATGTGTCCAGTGGAAACAAGCGAAATGCACCGCCGTGTATGAGTAAACGCTTTAAAAAGCACGACCCGCTGTCTCGCACTGGCTCCATCAGAATGCGCCGGCGTGCTTCGGCTGACGCGTGTCTCGTCACACACTGACGGGTCCGCCGCCAGCCCCGAGCGTCCCTCAAGGCCGCTGGTGTCGGCGCCGACGGCGGCCACCAGGCCTGCCCGGACGGCGGCGCGTCCCGCCAGCTCCGCTGTGGCGCCGGCAGTCGGCCTCTCGTCAGTCGCCTCATCTGATCTCGTCCCGTCAGCGAGGCGGCACTAGCAGGCCATGCATGACGCGCATGTGCCGGCGCAGCTCCACCTTGCGGGAGAGGGTGCGGCCGCACAGGTGGCACGTCGTCTGGCCGCGGTGCACCGTGCGGTGGTGGCTCAGTGACGACCGGTTGCCGAAGGTGCGGCCGCATGTGCGGCACACATGCAGCCGCGCCGCACCGGCCGCCGCCGCCGCACCGCCCCGAGCGCACGCTAAAACAGGAGGAGCGCGTCAGTGGCGGGCTAGCGGCGGCGGAGCGGCGCGGCTGCCGACCGACCGCTACCCAGCCGCCGTGTCAGCGTCCTCCACCGCGAGAAGAGCGCCGGTGGTTCGGAACGCAGAGGTCCGGCGGCTTGGAATAAGGAGGTTTGGTGAATCGAAACACGGAGGTCCGGTGGCTTGGAACATGGAGGTCTGGTGGCTTGGAACACGGAGGCCTAGTGACTTGGAACAAGGTCGGGCGGCTTGGAACACGGAGGTCGGCATTAAATCGTCCGCAACAACTGGATGACCAACGAGCAGCTGGCTGATGTTTAAAAACGATGGCTTTGTTCAGGCTGCTGTAAAGACCCACGTATTCAAAACTATAGCGCCATCCTTGTGACGTAACGAGCTGCCCTAAAGCCTCACCTCGTGGCAGCCGATACACGCCGCAGCACCACGCACACGCAGGCACCATCGGAATTCGTTGGCCCAAATGTGACGTCGGACACATGTACCATCGTCCCCAAACTCTCGCGCATCTCTCGAGAAACAGCCAAGCATGCAGCGAGAGGGCGTTCGGAAGTCGCACCCAGCACAGGGCTGCCGCTGTCGTTTCGAGGTGTGTGCGGGCCACTTTTTAATTGGCACAGCTTGCATTGGCACGTATCAGCCGTCCAGATAGCTAACGGACGCCATTCCTTCGTTGTATTCACGAAAACAAATCACAGTGGTTTGAATTCAGATTTGTGATGAACACCACACCGCCGTTTACCGGCGGTGACAGCATCAGTCAACATCTAAATGTCTGAGTGCATTTCATCATCGTCTAAGCGCATTTCAACGCGCACATGGAGCCCCCAACGATCCACGCAACAGAGGTGATGGCATGTCGAAATGGGAGACCTTGCTTCCAAAAGGGCACAGCGTCGGATCTGACATCGACATGATAAAACCTCACCCAAAATGTTCCAATCACCGTAAGGTTGGCGCAGACTATTCGCAACGGCAAACAAAAGCCTCCACTTAGCCTGCAAGCTCGCCAACGTGGAGAGCCACCCAAACGTCCAAAACATACCCCAGGAAAGCAGCGGGCGGTGTCTCTGAGGGCGCATCTCCCGGCTCGGCCGGCTCTCCCGCCATCTCCGCCCGTGCTTGCGGCTGCATTCAAGCTTCGCTCGGCACCCGACGAACCCCGCGCGGCGCCGGTGGCTGGCGGCCGGCGGCGGCGGCAGCAGGTCACGTGAGCCCGTGCTGCGCGCGCAGGTGGGTGCGCATGTGTTCGCGGCGTGAGAACACCCTCTGGCAGACGGGACAGCGCGTCTCGCCGCGGTGCAGGCCCATGTGGTGCGCCAGGGACGTCCTGCGCGCGAACGTCTTGCCGCAGACCGTGCAGGGGAATGGGCCGGGGCCGGGGCCGGGGCCGCCGCCGCCGCCGCCGCCGGCACCCGACGGCCGGTCGTCCATCCACGACAGGCCGGCGCCGGTCACCGGCACACCGCCTACCGGCAGAGAGGAGCACCACAGCGCGGTCAGGGGCACCGTCGGCGCAGCGCACGGGCGGCGCAGGGCACACCGGCCGGGCCGTCTCGCCATGGTGCCGCCCGCTCCGAGTTGGCGCGGGGTGTCGGCGGTGGCGGCGGCGGGGATCAGCTATGGCCAATCTGTCACCGTGGTGACGGCCGACGGCACCACGAAATGACGCCGACCGTTTCCGAAATGGGAATATAGAGGCGCTGCATGATTGTGGGCATTAGTTTCATAGCCTGAAGACTTTCGCTCACGCCATGCCACTGAGCTTATAATGCTGCCCGGCACCCGGGGACGTTTCCAGGCCAGCGGTCATGATCCTCACGTTCATCCCAGCCACCGGCCGCTATCGGTGAACGCAGGCCGAGCAGAGTAAGCGTGCGCTCTTAGTGGCCGTCCCCCAGACGGCCTCGCGCCGTGCGGCCGGATGGCAGCCGGTGCAACCGGAGACATTGCTTGCGCACAGCACACCGCCACGAGCTGGTCTCCGTGGTTTCCGCCGGTTTTATTTAACTAAATCCCTCCCCCCCCCCCCCCCACCCACGTAAGAAACAGACGCAGACTGCGTCCACGCAGTCGATCCTGCGAAAACGGTCCCGGCGCTGGCGGGGAGACGCGAGGCCGCCTGGACCCAGCGAGCGCCATGACGACTCCACACCCTCACTGGCCAGCAGCGCGCCGGCCTCGGCCTTCTCGTCAGCGGCTCGGTCGCCACGTCGCAGACCGCGAGGGACATCCAGCAACCTCGCCCTCACGCTCACCGCGGCCGCTACCGGAGGCGCGACGGCGGAGGCGGTGGCGGCGGCGGCGGCGGCGGCGGCGGCAGCGCGGACCGCGAGCCGCCGTGGAAGTTGCGCCGGTGCTCGGAGAGGTTGGACAGCGTGCTGAACACGCGGCCGCACAGTTCGCACACGGTGCGGCCCTCGTGAAGCGCCCGGTGGTTGCGCAGCGAGTCGCGGCTCTTGAACGCCTTCTGGCAGACAGCGCAGCGCGCGCCGCCGGCCGAGCTACCTGCGCCACAGCAGAGAGGCCAGGTTAGAGCACGGCGGCGGCGCGCCGCCACACCGCGAGCGACTCGACGCACCGAGTGTTGTGGACCTATCGCCGCACATGTTATACCGTCGCGCTGACTGGCGCACGTGTAGGGGGGAGCGTCACATGCGGCTGGTGCATCAGATCAGACGATGGCAACGATGACTCAATGAATTTGCGATAAGACAACAGACGGCGACCCATCAGATTTTCGACGTAAGTTCCTAACAAATTCTCGGCGGACAATCCTCATCTATGTAGATTGTGGACTGGACTCTCAGCCGACATCCTTATTAGCGCATTTTTTCCCGAAAATCGCCCAGGAAAGGAGCAGGCCGCACGTCGCGCAGTGTTCCGAACACGATATCCTAATAAACCTACACCATCCGTCCCCAGCAGCGACACGGCGCCATGCTATGTGAGAACAAGACATTCTGCAACGTGATAAAGCGTGTGGCGGCCCGCCGCTGGGCACTGGGTGCCGACGCTGGCGGTTCGCCTGCGCCCGCACGGACACTGGGACGGGGCATGAGAGCGCGGTGCCATCTGACCGCTCGCACCTGCCCCAGGGCCTCAGTGCCCGCGGCGCGCCCCGGCGATGAACCCCAACTGCACGGGGCTAACCTCCCGGCGACTGCGGAGCTGGACCAGTCCGTGGAGAACAGATCTGAGCGACGCCGCTGGACGAGCAGTCTAACCACCACCACCGGGCGCGACGTTTGACCACGACCGCTTCTACGTCGATGCCGATGGGCGCTGAATAATACTGTCGCCGTCGTTGACCGCAGCATGACACCATAGCCAACAGCCGGGAGCAGACCATCACTGCTCCCGGCCGCGCCCGCCGTCACCGGGCCGGTGTCGTGGTGACCAGCGTCACGCGTCACGAGCCCGGGACTGGAGCGGGACATACACAGCGGCGGAGTGGCCGCTCAGAGGGGCGCCACGACTCTGGATCCGGTCGGTCAGGGCGCCGAGGCACGCCAGCCAGGCCCCGTGAATATCTGCACATCGACCTCTCCGAGACCGCCGGGGATGCCCCGTCAGGGACCTGGTCCACAGCGGGTCACCTGTCCTCCAATACCCGCCCAGCCGTGGAGTCCAACAACGGACGTTTATTTGGACCATTATGAACAAGGCGATAAAACATAGCGTACATCCATAACAAGCTGCATCCCGAAATAACAGCCATTAACTAAATACAATGGATACGTTTGTTTGGATCATCGTGAGCAGCATGATACATGACAGTGGTTCAATAAGTCGCATCACAAATGGATATCAATGCACAGCTCCAATAACCCTTTCAAAGTAATGACAGCGCCAGCTACTAACCATTTTAGTTTCTGTCAAAGTTGCTGGCAGGCAGCCCGCTCCAAGCGACGCCGATCCCAAAGTATACAAGACCACGACAACTTCAGGCAGCGTGATGTCACTTGACGATTTCCACGGCTCAAAAGATTCCAGCATTCGGCACACTTTGCGGTGGTGTGGTGCAGCCTGGCTGGAACGGTCAGCCGCCAGCGACCGCCGCCCTACCCAGCTCCGGAGGCCCTTCCGGCCACGCACCAAAGGGCCCGGGGCCCTCTGCCGGGCCCGCTGCCAGGCCCCACTCCGCCAGCGCAGCCCCGGGCCACACCACGCGGCGAGGGAGAGCGGACAGCGTCCGAGTTTGCGCGGTGTCCCGGCTCGACCCGTGGGCGGCCGGCCGCTCTGGCTCGCCCCTAGCGCCGCCTCCACCGGCGTCAACCGTCCGGCACCAGCCTCGTGGACAGGACCGCCGGCTCCAGCTCTGGCGGCAGCACCAGCCACGGCCCGCTGACCACAGTACGCCACGCCCGCAGCGAACTCATCTTCACACTGCCCGCTTCCGCGACACCGCCTCCAGCAGCGCGCGCTTCTGGATCGCGCCGCCGCGGCGCTCGCCATCAGTTCACAACCGGCTCGGCTACGTCCAGCCCCACACCGCTCGAGCCCTCGCAGACGCCGCTACCGGCTCCCTTCCGCTGACTGCAGTACAGCCTGCGCTCCAGGACGCCGTTCGGCACGGCTAGCGGTCGCCCGCGGCGGGCCTGCCGCCTCGGAGCGCCTCTAACGCCGTCAGGGATGCTCCGTGGATCTTAGCGCGCCGCCGCGGCCTCGTGACAACTGATGCGCCGCCGCGCGCCGCTCAAGGAGGCGCCAACCGGACGGCGTCGCACGGGTGGCACATGCGCAGGTGCTGCGTGAGGTAGGCGCGCCGGCTGAACACGCGGCCGCAGACTGGGCAGCGCGTGCGGCCCTTGTGCACCTCCTTGTGGAAGCGCAGCGAGTCGGGGTGCCGGAAGACGGCGCCGCACAGGGCGCACACGTGCGCGCCGGCCGCCGCTGCAACAGACACGCGCCGTCCGTCAGCCCGCGAGACCAGCAGGTTCGCGCGCGTCACCGCCCGCCGACAGGCCGACCAAGCGCGCCTCTGCAGAGTCGGCGGACGGAGCCGAGATGCCGACGGAATAAGTCTTTCACAGATTTGGAGGAATAAAACGCTCGATTCCGATTCGACTTATATGTGCATCGCGGCGGCGAAAGCATCCAAATGTACCGACACCAACTCATAGACGTCGATTTCGGGCCAAGGAAAGAGCGTCTACTTTCCTCGATGATCTTCCGGTGATATGCAAACGCAACTAGGTGTACGTAGAACATCATTGATGCCAGTACCAATACATAAAGCACGTTTCTCGCCAACGTGATCCCAATATCGTTCATAGTTCCACGGCCTTGAGCTCGGACCGCCACAACAGACAGAGCAACACTCGCTGGCGAGTGCTTCCCTATACGTGAATTTGCAAGCGTGTGTTGGCTTAGTGGTGGTTAACCCAAGGCCAGCAGCGTTAAGAACGGCTCTCGTAACGCCGCGCTGTAATGACCGCAGTCGTACCACATACGGGATAATCCACGCTGAGCCGGACATTGCCGCGCAACGAATGCTTGGCGATCCAGGTCTGCACACCGCCCACACCAGTCAGCTGCTGGCGCAAGCGGCCGTGGTCGGCGGCGCCGTGAGCTCCCAGCTCCCGGCCCGGCTCAGACCGCTGCGTCCGCGGAAGTAACCAGAGCGCTGCGTCCGCGGAAGTAACCCCGCCGAGTCCCCCACTGCTGCGCGCGCTGTGCCGGTGGCGCCACGCAGTGCAGTGGCCCTCGCCGGCTGGCACGCTCACGGGGCTATTCAGAGCTCGTTAGGGCGTGCGTCTGCTGGGCCACTGGCCACGCAGTTTTCCACACGGGGTGAGCCAACGAATGACCAGCAGGTAGCGGCCAGCGCTGGTCGTGGCGAGCTTGGCAACACTACAAAACGCACCACGCCTCGCGTACACGTGCCACTATCACCGACCCGGCGGCTCCGCGTCCTTGGCGCTGCCTGTGGACCCGACTGCGTGCTGCGGCTGACCTGGCCGGTGCCACGTCCGGCTGGGCCGCCGGCCGTGTGACGCGGGCAGGCCGGCGCGCTGGCTGGCAGCCGGACGCAGGCGGCCTGCTGGCCCCGTCGAGCGCGCGCCGAGCGGGAGCCCGGCGCCCCACTCCAGCCGCGGGTCGCAGCGACCTTCACGCCGAGTAGCGTGCGGCTGACCCGGCCTGCGCTCTGCTGCCTGCACGTACCGGACTTGACAGGGCGGCGCGCGGCGCCCCGACAGCCGCCGCCACTCTCGGCCGGGCCAACGGCGTCGCGGGCACGGTGCCGTCGGCCTCCGGGGCTTGCGGCAAACGGCGCGGCGCGGGCTGGCCACCGAACACAGCCTGGGGCGCACGGGCGCGGACCGAATCTCACCCGACCGCACTCCGCACCGGCCACAGGTTACATGCAGCGAGTACTTCCGGTCAGTTACAAACTGGAGACCACGCTGAACAAGCAGGACACTCGGCATTCAGAGCACCAATGCAGAAAGTGACCGGTGAAACTGGTGGCTTGACCGACAGGGCAAGCCGGTCAAGCCGCGACGATCAGGTGCCGCCCTGGGCGTGTATTTTGACGGATACACATGCCATGCGTGAATTGGGTGCCAGCAGTAAGGCTACCTGGCACATTCGTGTAACGTTCCGACCGTTTTTCCTGGCGAGGGCTTGATCCAAGCCCGGCTGGTCCCGTTACAATGTCAAAGTGGACAAAATGCGCATACAGTCGCAATTTTGTCCTTGCATGAAAAAGATATCATTTGAACGCACAGACGTCCTACAGCCGAGAGACGTCCCCTCGACGCGCTCAAGAGTTCTGGCGCACGTGTTGTCAAATTTCGTTTTCTTTTCCCGAATATTGGCACGGTGCCGGCAGTACCTTTTACAGTACATCCTGTGCTCACGTTCGCACCAGAGCGCCCTCCACAGCCCAGAGCAGCACCTGGCAGTTGAAGCTACGAGACGGACTAACCTTGCGGGGCGCCGTCTTCCGCCACTCCAGCCGCTAACATTTCACTGCCTCCTGAAGAAAGAAGAACGCGGCCCGTCATGCAACACGAATGTGGTTTTCAGGCCGAAAAATTCTGACGCGCGGCACATAGAATATAAGTGGAGGGGTGGGGGGGGGGGGGGAGCACAAATCGCAGCGGAATTAGGGACCGCTGATTTTCCCGATTCGGTTTCCATGTAGACTTGACCATCGACACTATGAGCTGAAAGTTCCTACGTTGAACTAACGATCTTCACTATGCCAGGAGGTGCTGGTTCACAGGCGTTGCACTAGCGCAACAAGAGAGCTGAATGCCTCTTTTTCTTCTACCATGCACCGACACCAGAACCAAACGCTCTACCGTGTTCTCTGCCGTGCTTCTGCGCCGAATTTTGCGCTAGCGACATGCTGCTCAGATTTCGACGGGCATATCGCCCGGAGCTCGACATAGCCCTCGGAGTGATCAGTCTACTGATGCAGACTGGCCAAACCTTCCGAGTGCACGCCCCAGACCCACCTTGGTCTGAGATTCCGCTGAAGAGGCCGGACATGTCGTGAGAGCTCGTCGAGTTGTCCCCGTCGAACTGAGACGCCTCGAACGTTGACACCTGGCCCAGCGTGGCCTCTAAGCTCTCGTCGTCGTCGTCGTCGGCAATGTCTATTTTCTCCACTTTGATGTAGTCGTTGCGGGCGGGCGGCTGGTGCTCCCGGAGCGGCGTCGGCGACTCGGCCGGGTCGGCGGCGGAGGTAGCCGGCAGCGGCGATGGCAGTGGCGGTGGCGGCAGCGGCGGCGGTGGTGGCGGCGCTGTCGGCAGCGGCGCCGCCCCGTCCCCGGCCGGCTCCTGCGGCGGCGTCACCATGGGCGGCGGCGGCAGCTGAGGAGGAGGAGGAGGCGGGGGGGAGGAGGCGGAGGCGCCCCCGGCGCCGTGTGCACCGCCACTGGCGAGTCGGGCCGGCTGCCTGTCGACCCGGAGAGGCCGGCGCCGCTTGTGTCGAGGCGAGACTGGCGCATCAGGCGGCTCGCGCGGCCGCGGCCGGCCGGCCGGTGCAGCAGGCGGGGGCGGTCCGGCAGCCAGACGAGGCCGCTCCGCCGGCCTCTCGCGGACCATCGCCGCCGCCGGCTGAGATCGGGGCACCTGACAAACACGCCGCAGCCGCCAGTTAGCATACATCATGTGTGATCATATGGCGCCACTCGGTCCAGACTGGGAATAATGACTCTGAGCAGGAATGACTCCCAAAACATGTTCCTCGAATCTCTACTTTTCAAGTAGTGATTCAAGGTTCAAAGTACGAATTCACTTATTTCAAGTTAAATGTACATGCTTAAGCCAAGAAACAGATTATGAAGGCCATGGACATACCATGCGCAATCTGAACAAGCTACATCCCCTACAAGACAACTACCACCCACCTGTTCATCATCATCATCTCCTGATAGACCTTTGACTTGGAGCATCTCTGCAGTCTTCAGAAAGCTGCCCAGCTGACTCTGGAGGACATTGACCTCACCCTTGTACACAAACTCAATGACTGCTGCAATGTCCACATATGATGTGTCCTTGAGGAAGAAAAGTGGATGCTGGCATGGATTGTCCTGAAAGAAACCATATCATTTGGTCAAAGTGGGATAAGGATGAGAAGCATCTTCATTCATGCTTTCTTGAACTCTAGTAGAGGGATAAGATTTGGCATGAACAACATGAAAAAACATAACTAATGCCTCTTCATAGTACTGAGTGCCTTTTTAAACCTATGTCATTTCAGATATCGCTGTTTTGCGTACCATAGTTAAATTCAGTACATCTAGTTTGAACTGAATCCAGCCTTTAGCGTAATTCATTAACACCATGAAACAACAGATTCCCTGTTCTTCAATTAAAAAACATAAGTCACTGCTACAAGACATTCTGGGTTGCAATAGATGTAGTTCATGCAATGTTTTTTTCTTTAACTTCACCCATTCCCCACAGTGTCCTACTCTTTATAGCTTACAGCAAAATGAGATGCACACACAACATTAAAAAAGCCAATAACCACAACATTAGAGCATAAAAACTGAGCATTTGTTCATGCATCAAATATAGCCACTTACTTTCAGAAGATCTCTGAAATATGGGCTGCAGGCAGATAGCATCATCCTGTGTGCCTTTATCTTCTTCCCCTCACAACACAGTGTAATGTCCACTAGCTCCTCATCTTGACGAAGATTATCAAAAACAGATGTGACACTGTTCTTGAAGTTGTTCCACTTCAAGCAAAACTTCTGTGGTGTGACCATGATTGGCTGAAAGGAAGAGATCATTTACTCCAGCCATGCACAGTTATGTGTTGTAATGATTGCTTTCATAGATCAATGCTTTGCTACACTTACTTGAGCTTACATGAAATGCTGCAAAATCATGGCTAGATCATGGGTTAAGGTTTTCACATAGGATAGTGCTCAAAAAGAATATTCCTATTCTGGTTGTCACTGATGTCACAGATACACTTAGCCAATGTCCTTCAGGTTACTGCAGTTTCCATCTGTCAGTCAGGGGAAAGTATTTATGATGAATGCTACAATCCAGGTTCTAACTTAGACTCCAGTGAGCTATGACAAAATCCTAATACACATGATACTGATGATGATTTGGGCTCTAAGGTGCACCAATCACAAAATTGAACATGTGTTGGTCTAGATGCAGGGTAGGGACTCTATTGATCTATAAGGCTCTATGCTTTTTGTGGGAAGCTGCACAGGGCATGCAAAAACGCCATGTGGCAACTGCAGTGGTTACACACAGAGCATACACAGGATTTCACAATGGGAACTACAATGCAATACCTCCTGTAGAAAGCCAAGTTCAGAGCAATGCATGCACATGAAATGTACTGTGTTGTAAAAGATTACGTCCTCCATCTTCCTATTTTGATATGTACTATAAAAAAATTGTGTATGCTGTAAACATTTGGTCATCTACAGAAACATTTAACATAACTTTGGTAACAGGGGAGGACCCGCTCCCCTGTTGTGTTACAGTGAGGCAGTAACCCCCATGTCCCCAGGTTGACTGCAAACATAACATGCTATGATAAACTGATCCAGGCAAAAAAAGGTTCACAAGGTAATCTGAGGGCTTAGAGCTTGGGAAATGGTCAGCACCAATTTTAGCCTATAGAGAGCCAACATCTCAATGAATAACCATGTTACAACAGAAATTTCAGCCAAAAATACTAAAAAATCAAACATGAAAAATGACATGAAAATTCAGTGCAATTAAGCCTGGCCTGAGTTCAGTGCATGTAAACATGAGGTTCAACACAATCATGTTGTGTATGCATCCACACAGTGGATTGATTTTGGACACTGGCCCCTAATCACACAGGAAGGAATGAGCAACATATGATGGCACTTTCATCATGTCAACATCTTAATCTGCATAATTACTGTCACAGCCAATGACCAAATGTGTTATTTCACTTCTTCAGGAACTGCAGGGGCTGAAAAGTGGTGTTTCTTAGTAAGGTCCAGGAATACATTGCTACCTCATGCTAAAAAAGAGCAATGTACATCAATCATTGTTTTTTAAGGCAGAACATGGCAGAACATGAACATAAGGCAGAACTTCTTAATATGGTACCTATTTATATGGCATGGAACATAGTGCTGATGAACACTGGGTTGAAAGGGATAGGGTGGGGGGTTAGGTTAGGTTAGGCTAGGTTAGGTTAGGTTAGGTTAGGTTAGGTTAGGTAAGGTTGTTAGGCTACGCTAGGCTAGGCTAGGTTAGGTTAGGCTAGGTTAGGTTAGGCTAGGCTAGGCTAGTTTAGGCTATTTTCTGGACTATTCTGGCCTGTCTGTTTCATAAATATACCTAGACGTGATAAGAAATGTTTTCCATTGCATTATTTTTGTTACCTTGGCCCCTTACATTTTTTATGGTTCTTGATAAGCAGAAATTTTGCAATTGTGCAGCACTAACACACAAACGGCGCTGGGGGGGTCGAGGTGGCAGGTTGCGTGCAGTGCTCGGGAGCTCACTATTGTAGCTATTAAAATTTGAAGGTAGGAGCATTAATCTACCTGTTTTACAATTATTTATGATGTTCTGCCTGAAACATGACAAATGATGTACAATAACTTTTTCTATCATTAGGTACCAATGTATACCTACACCCTTATTAATGCTGCAGAATCACAAGCTTATGCTAAATTTGGATAACACCAATGATATCCTGTCAGGTTGACAGGTTCTAGACAGGACCTGGGCAGGGCTCTACACAATGCACACCTACACAATTTTCCAATTTTAATGATTTAATCCAAAGTTTTCACACATGGATTTTTTTTAGATCAGAGCACATCAACGGGAGAGAACGTGAGAGCACTGTCAAGAACAAATATTGAGCACCTAGAGCGACTCGAGCCCACTCCACCACGGGTGGGTGGATCGAAACGCAGACGCTTCAGCCAACTGAGCCAGCGGAACGGGGCTGCAGAATGCGTCTTCATATCGCGATTTACTTCTGCAGTACAATAATGCGTTGGCTTTGCGATAAATGTACTATCACATTGTATTACAGCTCACCGCGCACCTTACCTGGCCTCCACTCGCCCGGCTATGTCCAGCGCGCTTACCGCGCTTTGCGCGATTCCCTTCATTCCGTCGCATTCGCTCCATTCGCCTCAAACGCCTCGTTCAAATACCTCGTCTGAAAGCCAACACTAGTTTGCAGCCATCCATGCCATCAACTCAAAACTCACCAATCGCGGCCTGATTTTCTCCAAGTTTGCGCAAATCGAAAGTAAGAATGCAATCTTAATAAGTGTTTAGAAACTGATGATAATATGATGATGAAAATAAGTGTGTAGAAAAAGACTGTGACCTGAGGTCACCGCTAAAAAAAACCTGATGGAATAGTCTCCCTTTGCTGGTTGCTGCTAAACGTTCCTTGGAAATGGGCCGAGCGATTTCCGTGTTGGACCAAAGTGCAGTGCTCTAGCTCATGCGGTTCATTGCTGGTTTACATGTCATATGTGTTGCCGTTGACATGAAGTTCACACATATGCGGTTCTCAGATAAAGATGGTGAGCAGAGGTCAGTGGCGCAAGCAGAGTGTTACGCGGCGGAGTGCTTGATTACAACCGGGGTCGGGTGCTCGCTCGGATCTGTGGGTTGTTCGGGAATCTGGAATACAGAGCCGCGCGCGGATGGTGCGCCGAGCGAATTGTTTCATCCATCATGCATGGATAGATCAACTGGCGACAAGGATGGGATGGTGAACTTTGTTTTTTTACGTGGCGGCAACATGATAACTTTATCACTGATTGGGAATATCGGTGAGAACAGTGACAGTGACTCGGATTTTGGAGAGTATCTGGAGCGGTTTGACCAGTTTCTGGCTGCTAACGCCATCACGTCTGCGCCCAGGAAACGGACAGCATTTTTGAGCGTCTGTGGGTCACGCGTGTACTCGGTTCTGCGAAGTATCTGTGTTCCGGAGCTACCCGCCTCGAGAATCTCCGAGGAGCTGGCGGAGGCAGCCCAGAGACATTTTGCCCCGAGGCCGACAGTGATCGTGTCACGGTATAAGTTTAATCGGACAGTGCAGCAGGCTGAACAGACAGTGCCAGTGTTTTTGGCGGACCTGCGGCGGATTGTAAGGGACTGTTCGTACGGTGATCGCCTGGAGGAGCAGCTTCGGGACATATCTGTGTGCGGGCTAAGCAACGGAGCGATGTTGAAGCGACTTCTGCGGGAGGGGGACAGCCTGTCTCTGGAATCCGCCGTAGAAATAGCGACCGCGATGGAGACAGCAGCTGATGATGTGCAGGAGATCGGTGTCGCTCCATAGGCAGTCCCGCTGACGACTCCAGCAGCGGCCAGTTCCAGTCCGGAGCCGCTGCACGCAGTCGGTCGGGCGGCGGCCGCCGCCGGAAGGGCTGAGGTGACGACCCCGCCCATTTCGGCCGGCGGCGGCGACTACGGCAGGGCCGGCGGCGGCTGGGCCGGCGAGTTTTGGCAGCCTGCCAGGCACATCAGCTGGTGGAGCAGCATGCGTACCCTGTGGTCGCCACGATCACCCAGCGCCGGAATGTCCACACAGACGGGCCACCTGCTATGGGTGTGGAAAAGTGGGACAACTTCGGAATGTGTGCAAATCGGTGCATACCGTACTGGCGGCAGCGCGGAATCGGATGGAGAAATAGCATGTTACATGTGAACAGCACAATGACTCCGAACCGTGTTCCTCGGTACAAGACGACAGTGGCGGTCAACGGGAATCCGCTGGTGTTTGAAGTCGACCCAGGGGCAAGTCGGACGATCATCAGCCAGGTCATGTGGCGGACGGAGTTGGAGTGTTCCGCTGGAGTCGGGCCAGGAGTCACTGACCACATACACGGGAGGTGCGGCGCTGGTGCGCGACCGACTGACAGCGCGCGTGAAGTGTGGCGCAGAGCAGACCGCGCTGACCCTGTTCGTGGTCCACGGCGACGGGCCCCCACTCCTCGGCCGGGACTGGCTGCACAGCTGCGGCTACCATAGGAAAGCATCTTCAGCATGGCATGGCTGCTGACCGACCTGTAGCAGCAATACAGTGCGCTGTTTCAGGACGACGGAGGCGTCTGCACGCAAACGGTCCAAGTCGAGCGGGGCATTCTACGACCGGTGAAGACCTCGGATTGGGCGGCGCCCGCGGTCAGTGTTCTGAAAGGCGACAAAGTTCAATAACAATGTGTGGGAGCTACGACCTGACGGTTAACAAAGCCTCCCGAGTGGAGCAATATCCACTACCGACAATAGATGAGCTCCTCACAAAGCTGGCGGGAGATCAGAAGTTTACCAGGCTGGACATCAAAGAGGCATATCTGCTGGTGCTTCTAGATGAGGCAAGCCAGCGCTACACCGTGATAAACACCCATCGGAACCTCATGGCCGCCACTGGGCTCGTGTACGGCATCTCGTCAGCTCCGGCGGCGTTCCAGCGCATGATGGAGCAGCTGCTGGCCGGCCTGTCACACGTTGCCGTCTTCCTGGATGATGTGTGCATCATGGGCCGGAGCGACGAAGAGCACTGCCGCAATGTCGAAGCGGTGCTGAAGCGTCTCTTAGATGCTGGTCTGCGGCTGAACCCGAGCAAGCGTGAGTGGATGACTAAAGAAGTAGAATACTTGGGCTACAGGGCCGATTGCAACGGCATCGATTCCACAGCCGCAAAAGTGCTGGCAATCGTGGAGGCGCCACAGCCTGCTGACGTCAAGCAGCTGAAGGCATATCTCGGACTGTTCATGTACTACTCCAAGTTCATGGACAGCCTGGCCACAGTGGCGGCGCCGCTCTATCGGCTGCTGAAGGCAGGCCAGCGGTGGAGCTGGGGACAGGCGGAGAGCGCGGCATTCGCGCGTACCAAATAGCTGTTGGTGCAAGTGCCGTGCCTCGCACACTACGACGTGAACCTGCCGCTCGTGCTGTCTGTGGACGCTAACCCGTACGGGCTCGGAGCTGTACTGTCAGTGATCGACGGTTCGGGGATGGAACGCCCGGTGCCTCGGGAATGGAACGCGCATAAGCCTCTCCTGGGTACTGCATCGCGGACCCTGGCAGGCCGCGGAGGTCAACTACAGTCGGTTGGATAAAGAAGGGCTGGCGGTGGTCTTCGGAGTGAAAAAGTCACCAGTTCGTTTGTGGCTGGCACTGCATCATACAAACCGACCATAAGCCTCTCCTGGGCCTCCTAAGCAGTGGCAAGCCGCTACCGCTCATGGTGTCGCCCAGAGTAGCCAGGTGGCGGCCTCGTACTGCAGGCGTACCAGTATAAGCTGGTGTACGCCCCCTCAGCTCGGCAGGCAAACAGCGATGGACTGAGCCGCCTGCTACTGACTGTCTGCCCGGCCAGCGTTCCGGATCCCGGGGACATTGTCTGTCTTCTTGAGTCAATGGACCAGCTGATTCGTGTCGATCAGATCCGCCGGTGCACGAGCCGTGACCCAGTCTTGTCACGTGCTTATCAAGCAGCCATGGACGGCTGCTGGACGGTGCCGGCAGCTGATGGAATGGAGCCATTATACCAGCGCCGTCTCGAACTCGGCGTCTAAAATGACATCCTTCTCTGGGGAAACCGCGTCGTGGTGCCTTCTGCTCTGCGGAAGGCGACGCTCTCGCCCCTGCACTAGGGACACCCTGGCGTCGTGGCAATGAAGTCAAAGGCACGCGCGCACGTGTGGTGGCCCGGCATGGACGCAGCCATCGAGTCGACCGTGACAAGCTGTCATGCCTGTCAGCTGAACCGGCCCCAGACCTTCCCGGTGGTGGAGAGCCCATGGCCGTACCCGGAGGCACCGTGGGACCGTCTGCACATGGACTATGCGGGACCGGTCGATGGGATGATGATTCTGGTCAGCGTGGACGCCTACTCAAAGTGGATATCGGCGTATCCCACGACGGCGTCAACAGCAGAGGCAACGGTTGAACGGCTGAGGATAGCCTTCTCAGAGCATGGTGTGCCACTTGCGGTGGTGAGCGATAACGCGGCAGTGTTCTCCGGTGATAAGCTCTGTCGCTTTCTCACCGATAATGGCGTGCAACGTGTGTTCTCCTCTCCTATGCACACGAAGTCGAATGTCAGGGCGAGAGTGCAGCCAAAGTGATCAAAACCGGTCTGAAGAAGCAGAGTGCTGGGTCGCTGCAAACGCGCCTGAGTCGGGTCCTGTTTCAGTCTCGGACCACTCCGCACTCGACCACTGGTGCATCGCCCGCGGAGCTGCTGCACGGCCGCCCGCTGACCACTCACCCGTCCCGGCTGCGGCCAGACTCCGCCCTGCTCGAACGTGCCCGAACCAAACAAGAGCGTCAGACACTGGTGAACAACCGGCACTCGACCGCGGCGCGGCAGTTTGAGACTGGCGACCCGGTGTACGTGTCTGCGGTCGACCAGCGGCCCTGGCAGCCAGCGGTGGTGGCGGCGGTATCGGGCCGTCAGTGTGACGTCCGGCTGCCGGACGGCCGCTGCTTCCGGCGACACGTTGATCACCTGCGGGCTCGGTCGCCGGACAGCCCGTTGGTCGATAGTGGGGTGGCAGTTCCCGTTCCGGAGTGTCCTGTGTCGCCGGCGGCGGCCACAGTGGAGCCGGCGAGCCCCGGCTCTCCTGACAGAGAATTGCGACCTTGCTCTCCCTTTGTAGCCATGCGCCGGTCGGGTCGCGAGCGTGCGGTACCCGCTCGTTATCAGTCATGTTTATATCGCCATGTCGGATGGTCGGACGCGCTGTCAGTCTTGTGTTATTCTCGGACTCGTTAATCTTACGGGGGAGGAGTTGATATGTATATAGGTTGTCTGTTAGCAGTCGCAACCAAGAGGTGTCGCCACTTACGCGGCGGAGTGCTTGAGTACGACCGGGGTCGGGTACTCAGCTCGGATCTGTGGGTTGTTCGAGAGTCTGGAATACAGAGCCGCACGCGGCTGGTGCGCCTAGCGAATTGTTTCATTGATCATCCACGGATAGATCAGAGGGCTTACAAATAAGGGCCCGATTTGAGGGTCCGAAGAGCCCGAAAGGCCGGCCGGAAGTCGTAGTCAGCGGTCCGGCCAAAACGAGTTAAAAGATTAACAAAGCCATCCCACGTTTGCCGGAGAACGTTCTTTTTTTCGAGGAATCGACTAGTGAAGCAACTTACATCAAACGGTTTGAGCATGCGCGCTCGCAATCTTGGTAGCAAGGACAACGACGGCCAGTTGTTGCAGCTTTCGTAAACCGAACGGCATGATTCTCTGTAGGTATCACCGGGCGGCAGATGCCGTGGGCGCGAGAACGATCGTTGTGAAATAACGCTTCTGAATGTCATTCAAAATTAATTCGTACCGTTCAAAAACTATGCAGTGCGAATCTTGTTTTACAACTTTGGGGTTGGGTACTCTTCTGGAATGATTTACGGTTACAGTAGCACGAAAAATGAAGATTCTATCTGCTCTTCCAGTTCCATCACCAGATTCCAACACCACATTGCGATGCTGTAAAGGACAATCCATTCTTATAATCAATCTAAAAATCACACGGGTGAATCCTACGCCCGGACTACCTCCGAAGGTACTTCTTTCCGATGCGTCACCGTTTTCGGACGCCCGTCGGCCACGGCTTAGCGTAAGCCGCAAGGCCGACGCTGCGGCCCGTTGAGGTTGTAACGGCGGGTGCCGAGGCTTTGTTGCTAAGATTTGAGAGCGCGCAAGCTCAAAACTACGTTACATAATTTGTATTACTAGTCGGTTCTGACTGAATGCTAAGCATTTTCAAACATTGCTTGGCCATGTTAACACAAGTTGTCTAACCCTTTCCATCTACAGCCTACATTCGCAGGGTGCTTGATATCTTGATAGAGCCCAGATCGAAATTCTGGCAAAACTTTTGAGTTCCATCGATTCAGAAAGAGTTCGCTGGACCTTTGTAAAATGAAGAGCGGCGCTCATTTATCTCATGCAATCGTTTAATGGATTGCTTTTCTGTTTATTGAAAATAAAGGTCGGACAGAATAGGTCTCGTGGTAGCTTTTGGTTCCTGTTTCAGATGAAAAAGATAAAAATGGAAAAATGGAAAAATAGAAAATTGGAAAAAATGGAAAAATGGAAAATTTGACCCGTGAACAAAGCGGTTTGTACGCCTTTTAAAGGCAAAGACAGTGTCCTGAGGTCACTGATTTCATTATGGCTAATACAATATAGCTAATACAATATTTGGTGCTTTATCTGCTAGCATGGGTTTTGATCAGACCAATGGAGTATATTTCGAGTTCGGACTTACCTACATTGCATCCATCATTTGGCACCGACACATCTCCATCCCGGTTCTTCTCCACGTGTGTCAATGGTGTCATTTCTTCATTTTTTCATTCCTTTTCTCCGTCACTTGATTTGAGTGTCGGCGTAATTAGCAGCAAGTGATCCTCATCTCTTCGAAATTTAGCAGCGGCCACTCCGCCGATTTCTCGCCGACGCGAACAGTAATCACGAGTTTCCCAAGCCCCTCTTGCGTAGAAGCACAAGTGGCCGTGACTGACTTGTCATTTAAGAAGAATGCCCAGCATGTCTTTCATCAAGTCACGTGGTCGCACCTAACGTTCCCGCATCTGGTTTCAGGCATGGCATAAAACCAGTCCTTTGAAGAAAATACTTTTGATACAAACACTTGGATTTTCTATGAATTTGGCCACCATGGATTTTCTATGTGTTCGGCTTTTCTGCAACCTGGCAATAGAGACAATGATTGAAGATAATATGTTTAACAGAAGTGATTTTGTTTGGATTTAATATGCATGGCGCATAATTGTATGTGCATAGGTGGCTGTTGGCCCGTTCGTCTGCCACGAAAAAGTTTTTACACCCTTGTGAGGAGTGATACGATATGTCAAAAAGTCCGTGCCTACGGGGAGTACGTACTCCCCAACGATGGCTTCCAATTGCATTTGACCTCCCGCATGACACCTTAGTCAGGAGTCAGGACGTTCCTCAGGGCGGTCAATTCTCTCTCGTGACTTCCCAAATGACCATCCTGACAATGCATGTGACATCCCTCACGGGACCCCGCCTCAGAGCTGGCTTTCCTTAAAGAGCCATGATGCCCGACGAGGGGGTCAGGTCGTTGATTTCGGGGGTTGTTAAAGGTAAATAATCGACCATGTGAATCCTCTCTCCAAGCGTGCAGGGCAAATTGAGGAGTCGTATTATTGGCGATGGCGTGCCAGGAAGTTACACCATCCCTGCTGGACTACACCAATCCGGGGCGTGCTCGGCTATTCGTGATTTAGCAGCAATTCGTAATGGGTTTAGCAGCAATTTGCAAGCATGTAATCTGCAGTGATCCGAGGCAAACACCACGTACCAACTCTATCGAGTTATTGCGAACTTGAGCATGTCGCGTATCGAAATACGAAATGATCGTGGACTCCATAATCATAAAGCAAGTTTTCCAGTAATAAAACGGCATGGTTTTGACATTGATCTGACGTCCATGTTTAACCCCAGGTCAATGTTATAAGTCGTAATCTCAATTTCAGTAGTCTAATTGTCTAGCAAACCATCTCAAGGTTGTATGACTTCGTCCAAGCCTACGTCGTCGCATCATGTTGAACAGAATCGCCCTCCCTGACAGCATGCCCAGACTTTGGCCTGCCATAGGTAAGCTACCTTACGAAATATGTCTATGTATATAGCATATTTATAATGAATGGTTGAACAGTCAACTGCCTGTAGCTGTGCAAAGCTTGGCGCGGCTGTACTGCGTCATTCAAACGTTCTTTGGGGAAAGCATTCGAGTCAAGTTGACCTCCAACCGAGCACGTGTTCAAGAAAGACCTGTAGTGAAGTCCCTACACACAGCCGGCAGGTTATGTGCAATAATACAACTCCATCAATTACGAGCAGAATATTACATCTATACATCGCGCAAACCTCGGGATTTTCCCCAGTAAATAGCAGCCGCCTAGTCTAACAGTCATCGTGACATCTCCCTCCTCCCCCCCCCCCCCCCCACTCCCAGTCGCTACTGGGCTGTGCCAAAATATCTCATCTCCTTCCAGAATCGCTCGTCGGCTCAAAACACGTTGATGCCGGAATTCATGACTGACATCTGGCATCCTCACGAGCCTTGCCTTCTGGAGTCGCGGAAATGATTCTAGCGAAGGTGCCTGCGGCCCTCGCCGGTGACAAGGGTCAGTTTAAGCAACTTATGGTCGCTGTATCGAACCACTTTTCTGTCCTCAGTATAGTCTACCAACGGAAAAACACGTGAACACGACTTCCGTTACTGCCATGGAACGTGGCGCCGTTTTTTAAGATCTTATCCGAACCCTTTGAACGGATGGATTTATGGGATCAGAACTCACGCTAAGTAGTGCTTGTGTGAGCCATGATTACCACCCGAACGCGCAATTCCATGTCAGCAGCAGAATTTGGTGGCGAAAGCCTAGCGTGCCGCAATGTTCGGCACGGTCCGTCCTGCCCTATGACGTCATCTGACCTTCATCGCGGCAGCCGCTACCGGCCGCAGACCATGCCTGCTAAGGAAAAATAGCGAGCGCCTAAAGCGACCCGAAGCTCACCCCGTCACGTATGGGTGAATCGGAACTCAAGCGCTCTAACTGAGCCATCGGGATGGGCATTATCTCCGACAGCTTGACAGTGTTCGACATCCGCCGTCTGGAATTCGTAAGAAGGCAGTCGAGGAGTGAATATCACGTTCTGTGAGCCACGAATCCATCGATGGCAACTCCATATGTGCTACTGTTACTCTCGCTAGCAGGCCGGAGCCTCCTGCGACCAGCACTTGAGGGCCCGACCCTGCAGACCATGGTCCCTCAATGCGACCTTCAGCAAACCCTTTTTATCCTTCGGGTCTTCCAGTCGGGCACCGATCGTCAGTTCCAAGGGACCCTCCGGCCTCTCGGGACCAAGGAGCATACGTGCACAATGTGTCCTTCCCAGTGTTGCACCCCTTGGTGCATACAAAACATGTACGGAATGTCACAAAAAGCATGTATTCCGCAGAGATAGCTCTCGATTCGCCAAACGTCGGGCAACGCAGGCGATTCACACCGATGGTGCATCTGTACTGTTTGCCTGATTTCGACCCGATGCAATGTGTGAAGCGTCGTAAATTAAGTTACAAAGTATACCTCTGTAATTTATATCTCGACACAAAACAAATGCCATGCGATTCTGATTTTGAAATTATCACTTTTTCCTTGCCGGGCACAATGTTATTTCCTAAGTGCGAAATTTATCTAAGGTTATTCAAAAGGCCTGTGCATGTTAAGCTGGCCTGCGGTTAACTTAAGTAAATATGTTATAAACATGGGCACGAGGACCATAACACATTCAAAACTTCAGAGATAACGGATACCCGCCAAATGATTTGGAAAATGGGCGTGTTTATGCGGGTATAGAATTGACAATTTTGTCAAGGCAGATCCAATGGC